ATTATCGGTGAATGATGGTTAAGTGTTCCCGGTCCAAACGACGCTGACTGCCCAATATGAGATGACAGCATTATTAATGGCACAATTCATCATTAGAACGTCAATATTCATGATTGTCTATACAAAAACCCAATAAAGATATGCTTCGATGTGTAAATAATTTTTATGTGTTGGGTGTGAAAGGGGAAATGTATTATTGACATATTAAACAATACATATTTTTTCTTCTCAATTATTTTATACTAATATTGTTGATGAATATATTTGACAGGTTAGCGTATATAAATAAATATATCAAGTATTTACATGTATATGGCACTCTTCCGGAAAGTTAACATTCGATTTCCATTGTAATGGTTTATTATACTCTTAACGATAGAACAATGAAATACAATAATTGCTGTCTCCGCGTGTGTAAAACAGAAAAGTAATCTGTTAATAGGAAATTCACGAAGCAAGCAACATGTTTAATCTTTAGGGGGTTTACCGGGATTCTAGAATTGATGGCAGCAAGCATCTGGTGGAGTGTTATATTTGTTCCACCCCTGGAGATTAACGTGTAAGAACATGCATTCCACTCACGTCAATACGCCTTGTCTCCTTATACAATGACCAACCTTGACCATAGCGTGTATTAACAATAATTGCTTCCCTGGTGTTGATTAAGAGGCAATCCTAAAGCCTATTACTAACCGGACCTGACTTGGGTTCAATCTATTCAATCTCGCAAAACACGCATCTACTAATCAATATAGACACAGCAGAAGACTGTGGGTTTACCTAATTCCATTACGCGGTACCTTACTAACGCGCCCCTTTAATAACCCCCTGTATTCCGAATTATCGCCTTTTATTGACAATGAATAAAAACGACGATTTATGAACTTAGTGCAGCACAAGCATCAATAGACCTCAGTGATACCGATGCCGTAAAAAGGAAATGACGTATTTATGCCCATGTAAGAAACTTGACAAATCTGTATAAAAAGTATTATGGTTTAATCTGAATCTCCTGGATTAAGCCATTATACTATTCATCAACATGAGAACAAACTGAGATGCATCCTGGATTAAACCATTACACTTTTTATTCAGTTTTGTCAAGTTTCTGCTCTTGGGGATTACTACCGTGTGCAAGAAAGAACAGTTTTTGTCCCTGTTGTGGATTATCTTAAAAAATTTAAAACCAATATTATTGGGATTTTTTAATGGGCGAAATCTTTCTGATTTAAGTAAAAAATAAATGGTTAAATCTGGTTGATCCAGAGCTGGTTGAAGGTTGTATGGTATCCTGGGATGTAATTCAAGTAGACGCTGCAACGAAATGCTAACAATCTGGTATCTTTTATGGTAGCGATTATCACCCCCTGCACGTTTCAAGTCAGTAGCTTGAAGCGTATATATGGTATTAGTGTCAGTGGCTTGTGGCACGAAGTAACAGTATATTGTCGCATACATAATATATTATGTCAACGCTTGGGCGACATAATATATTGTGTTGACGCTCCAAGCGTGTTAGCATATTAGACCTGTAGACTCAGTGGAATGTACGCGTCATCAGAGCCATAGAAAGTGTCCCTGTAAATAAAAGAGGGCATCCTTATCAGAAAAAGGGCACCTGTGATGTCAGAATTTCAAAAAAGGGCACTTTTCTTTCGGATTAGGGTTAGGGTTAGGGTTAGGACACAGAAAAGAGAGAAAAAACAGAAAAGAAAAAAACAAGCATTCATTGGTTATCAAAGCGCCAATTAAATCTATCGTTGCAAGTTCATGCCTAGTCACCTCCATCCTAGTTCCAAGCGTTGACATAATATATTATATCGCCCAAGCGTTGACATAATATATTATGTATGCGACAATATACTGTTACTTCGTGCCACAGGCCACTGACACTAATACCATATATACGCTTCAAGCTACTGACTTGAAACGTATCGCCTGCGATTATCATCAACTCCGACTTTATTGGTCAACTTTAAAACCTACAGGTTTATTATGCATATGCCAGGAATGTATTAGTGTTAAGAAAAAATTAAAGATGCATTATATAAGAGCTAAATCAGCCTAGTACATACAGATTTTTTCGCCCTGGCTTCAAATATTATATTTAAACAATTATTAATATGACAAGACCATAATCGACTCCCCCGTTAAAATCGTTATTTTACTCCCAATCTGGTCTCTAAAATGTATAAAGATCTGATATCAGATTCATAATTAAACAATAGCCCACAATTTTAGATTTTATAAGGTTTACATTAAAAGTTGTCACACTATGTCAGTCCATTGCGTGTACATTTTTTCCAATTTCAATAAATTATTATAATATATACTGTCCTGTGACATGAATAGAAAAAGATATTGTTTGAAAATGGAAGACCGGAAGAAGGTGATCGATTGGCGCCACTTTTTACCGCCAACGCGCTGAATTGTGCCAGAAATGCACCTTCGGTTGCGTGGGTTCATTCCTAACATTTAACGATTCTTAACTCTATTCCTTATCCATGCAGAAAGTATTTCAAAATGTGATTCATAACCATTGTCCTAAAGGTGGTACCATTCTCAGACACAAAGGATGGCATTGTTTGAATTTCCATTTTAATCCCCATCCGAGGTAGTTGGCCATCATTGCCACAACTACTCGAGAAGTGGTAGGCAATATATAGCGTAAAAGATACAAATTTTGGTAAATTACCACTTATGAAGAACATGGATTTAATTAATTTTGAATAATATCATAATCACAATCAAAATAATCTTAGACACGCCTATATATCTAAAATCCAGAAACTGGCATATTGGGACTGTGCAGCGCAGTGAATGCTTACGGTCAGCCCCCGGGCCCATTCCCTTGATTTCTATACGTTTGTTGTTTACATTGATTGCTTGCAATGTTTGTGTAGTTTGTGTGTCTTGTCCACGGGTTTGTCTTGTGAATTTGTATACGTTTTGTATCCCCCTCACCCCCGTCCCCCACCCGTATTATTAAACTGCGCGAAAAAAAAATCTAAAACAATTGTAATGGTATGTCCACAATTGACCGTTTTGTCTCTGATTTTGCATGTAACTAATTGTCAACATGCCTAATGTTGCTGTCGAACCAATTTAAATGTAAAATATTGTTTAACTAATCGGCTTAGCGGATACCTCTTTAAGCTAATAAAATTAAGGTATTTACATGGGCTACTTGTCGTGATTACATTTTGTATAATTGTTGTTAGACTGATACCATTGTTTTCATAAATGTTGTTAAACAATATATGTCGTTGAAATGATACCATTCTTTAGAGATACCAACATTTTAATATGTAGTAGAAATGATACCATTCTTTAAGGATACCAACATTTTAATATGTTGTTGAAATGATTCCTTTCTTTAAAGATACCAAGATTTTAATATTTTGTTGAAACGATGCCGTTCTTTAGAGGTACCAACATTTAATATATGTTGTTGAATTGATACCATTCTTTGGAGATACCGACATATTAATATATGTTGTTGAATTGATACCATTCTTTAGAGATACCGGCATTTTAATATATGTTGTTGAAATGATACCAGCATAATATATGTTGTTGACATAATGCCATTCTTTAGAGATACCGACATTTAATAATTATGTTGTTGAAATAATACCATTATATTAATAAATTTTATAATTGCAATGTTCCATTGTAGTGAATGTTGTGGAATGATATCATTCTTTAAAGATACCAAACAGGTTTTACATCAATAATAACTCTCTAAAATATACGACCTTTGCTATGCTTCCAATTATTTGCGATAGTGAGAACTTAATATGAAGGGTTCAGGACCGTGTGAAAGACACGCGTGTTTCATATTATTTTGTAATTATAGCACAATTATCGATTTCTCGCCATTTATAAGCTATAATAATACCCGGGAAGAAAAAAAACCGCGGTAAATTGTTGTATATACACATATGTAAAACTAATAGGATTTGTATTATATATATTAAACACCTAGGAGAACTAGATGATCTTTCTGGCTTTTAGATTATAATCTTGTTTTATTGATCGTCGATATGTCTCAAGGTCTACCCTCATCCCTTCAAGTTTGTCAATTGCCATATCCGCACTAAGACCAGACCATTTTATGTAGCTGAGATTGTCTGTATGGAATCAAAATAATTACTTATATTTCCCAATCTGCTTTTATCCCACGCGTTCATTATACAATGCTTAGGTTATACGGAGAGGTCGGGTATGAATATTATTAATGCCAGAGCTGGTGATTTATTGAAAGCATGATAAAAAATTGTTGTTGTTTTATAAAAATGTTATAATGGTTTTTAAATGTGTTTCAACACTTCGTTCCACTATATATTCCACGTTGATTCACTGCATATTTTGGGTTAACTGCACGCTTATTTCATACACCGTAGCATAGTAAAATACATTAAGACTCCCAAACAACATTTAATAAGTAACATACTCACAACGTTTTATTTTATCGAAAATCTCTTGTCAAAAAATCGTAAATTTTAATGAAATATTTTAATTACATACTATATTCTAAATATACAAAAAATTACCTGTTTAAAATATTTTCATTAATGTTTATCTCATATTTAACAAATTAGGTTTTAAGCTTTTCAGAAACACCGTTACTTCGATTTGAACACAATTAAAAAAGCATAATTCAGAAAAAGTGTTATCTCGATTTTAATATAATTCAAAAACACTTATCTCGATTTTAACATAATTCAGAAAGACTATTATCTCGATTTTACCAAATTTCAGAAACAGATTCTGTTTTACAAAGCTTTATTTTCATCATATAAAGGAATTTTCGAATTACATTATTCTTGTAGTTTCTGTTGAAGTTTTAATATTTCTTCAGGAACATTACTCTGTGGTTTTGGTCATTATTTCGAAACAATATTAAAACCGTCAGATATTATACAGAAAACATTGAAGAATAAAAAATTACTCAACGTCTAAACAATTTTTGTTTAGAATTTAGAGAGTGTTATGGCTCATTTCATTCCTCTTAAATCATTAGAGGTCGAGATTGTGCAGCGATCGCATACGCTTCTTGAGATTTCAACTTCCAGGAGTACATTTAGGTGCCCGAAGCGTGTACAAGGCTGAGTCACGGGTTTTCATCCAACCCGAATATCTAAGCATACTTTTTCTGTCAGTCAAACCGGAGTCACCCCTGAAAACTGTGAACCTGGCTTGAAACATCCCGGCCCACTCGAACCATGGACATTGCTTCCCTACCCATCAACCACCACGACCGCTCCGTATGGAATACACAAAACAGTCCTCTAAATTCTATACAAAGTTGTTTGTCGTTCACACATTAACGTTTTCATCTATTAAAACATTATCACATTAAAATACGTTCACATTCCATGGTCAAGATGTACTTAACTTATAATATTTACTTTAAATTTATGCCCCCCCCCCCTTTAATAATGCTAAAGTGATTTTATCTCTGACTATATAAACTGTTTATTATTCACTATTCTTTGGTGCACAGAGCTTTTTGAAATCCCTTTAACCTTTCAGAGCATACCACACACGCGGATTGTTCAATGCATATTTACGACATCTTTTATCTTGAGTCATTTCATGCTATTATTAAGAGTTAGATCACGTTGGCTCATAAATCTTGCAAACATAAAAGCTGTTATTATCATCAATTTACTGCGATTTCCCACATTAAACCCACTGTTAAGGGATATTAAGATAAAATTCCGTCATATATAACAAACTAATAATTATATAGCTGCAATCCGAATCGCCTTTCACAAACGATTTATATAATATACTCATAGGAGTTTGCATTTCTCTTTCTATTACTTTTATTAGTGCCAATGATACAGATCTTCAGTATTAAGCCCTAAATGGATCGTCACATTAAATACCTTTACTCTTTCAGGACATTTCCATGATTTTTCATAATCGAAAGTTCCTGCAATCATCTACGGTGTTAAAGAGCATCCAAATTGTGGAGTTTTAAATCCGAGTTCGTGTTTTAAAGGTATAGCCGGTTCCCCTTCTGCTTCAACATGAGATACATCATCAAAAGATTTAGCTGGAGTTATTGTAAAATCATCATCGTCAACGTGACACGACCCGCCATTAGTACCCGCTGTCGTGAATGTAATCGCCGGAACATTAGAGTTCTGAATGTTTGGTTTAGGACAGCACGGAGCTCGCTTTAACCACGCTTGGACGTTTTTGCAGCACTGACAACACAAAACCTTCATAAATTCTGTCCTGAAATTATCATTTAACCACCCATACAGGACCGGGTTTAAGCAAGCAGACGCCAACACTAGCATGTGACAAATAGCATAGGCTAAACTAATGTTAATATTACGATTTTCACCCTGGAGATCTGATCTAAAAACGTCCACGTTAAATTCACTCAGCAGATTGAAAATATTCAACGGTAACCAGCTAAGCGCAAAAACAACGGCAATGCCGATTAAAAGGAAGTTAGTCTTCCGCTTGCGATTTCTTTGACGTTCGTTTTTCTTCCTCTGATATGGTGATCTGGCTCCAACCGGATTACTTTGATTAACCATTCTGTATTTTAATTTATTACATATCCTTAGATGAGCTACAATAACAATAACAATAGGAAGTACGTATTGAACAACAATCTGAGCAACCGAGTACGCCCTCTTCTCGGTCATCAAAAACACATCCTCTATACAGATATGGATATAGAAATCAAAATCGGGTAGCGGCTGGGCCTTTTTTAAAATAGAAAACAGAAGGAATGGACTAGCCATTAAAAATGATATAAGCCAGATGCTTATCAACGCAATGGCCGCACCTGCTCGCTTCATACTGTCTTTTGTAGGATACACAATCACCTGAAATCTGTCTAACGCTATGGCGGTGATGCTAATCGTTGATACGAAGACATTCGTACCTTGAAACATGGTGGCAAATTTACACATAAAACTCCCTAAGGTCCAGTGGTATTGTAAAATTTTATAGAGGTTTAAGGGTTGCGTGAATAAACATAGCGTAAAATCGGAAATAGCTAAATTGATAATGAAAATGTTGCGCGGAGTTCTCATCTGGGCATTTCTGGTTACCACAAAACATACCAAGCCATTTCCAGCCGCACCAAACGTTATTAGAATAGCAAAGCATGTGATCAAAATATATTCCGTCGTATGTTCTAAAGTTTTCTCTGTTTTCGACTGCATGAGTATTTCCATATAATCAAAACCTGAATATGAACTTGAGACGTTAGACATTGATGTTCCACTATTGGATATTCCCGCTGTATGATTTATGGTCGCCATGTTGTTTCACAAAATGTCCACTGTCGCCACTGAGTCCAGGTATCAGTTCATGACAAGTCTAAATTACCTGTAAAGAGATAAATAGATAATTTTAAATATTGAAGTATAATTCAATACATAATATGGTTCGTTAATCAATTAGGTGCAGCCCGGCTGTTTAAAATACAGCCGTTTCCATTCTGATTGATTTGAAACTGTAGGTTATAAGTAGTCTATTTATAGCAATCCCTTTATCTTTTTGCAAGAGACACGTGTCTGCCATATCACCCTAGATGAAAGCGGACGTAAACTTGGATATACAATCTAACTTCCCCCTTTCGCGCCATTTATTGTTCACTTTTTTGGGCTAGGGTCGAAGAAGGGTTTTGAATTTATATTTCTTGTCATAGTTTGGTGAAAATTCTTGATTTTTAGGCGCAAAGACCAGTAAGCGGGCATGAATTTAGGAAATCACACAGGAAAATACCATGACGTCACAATCTACAGATTCCTTTGATTAGGCATAGAGAAAACCCCAAGACAGTCATCCCCTGTAGTATTTTTTACATATCGGGCACTTTGTGGTTATTAGAGAATCACGTGGCTAAGTGGGTAAAACGCTGGCTCGCTAGCATGGGGGGCAGGTGTTCGATCCCTGCATTGGCCGAGAAAGTTCATCCAGATTTTCCGGCGTGGTTTCCCCTTGTCAGTGATGCAGGACGGAGGGCCTGACAAGGACAGCTGTCTAGTCGTTCGGATGGGACGAAAACCCGATGTCCCGTGTACACATTGGCGTGCACGTAAAAGATCCCTTGGCAGTTGGAATTCGATGTAAGAGTAGGCCGTAGCGCGGCTGTCCGGGCAAAATTTCCCTCATAGCACACTGTATGGCGTATGCTCGTCTTCATTGGCCCAGGTTAGGAGCAGAACAGTAGGACGTTAAACCCCATTTCAATTCATTTCATTGTGGTTATTAAGCTTTAGATCATCGGATCGAACGGTGAAAACATATCCCATAGTTACGCCCCTTTTATACACGGTTATGTTAGAACTTCATAGTCCTCAGTTATCATTGAATCGTTCAACATTTTCAATAACAACCCCAGGGGATATGATTGAAGCTATTAAACACATTTCACACTGGTTCAGTTTTATTAGCGTAAATGTAAAATAATTTGGTGAAATGTGTATTCAGCATCGGACAGTAACTTATGTATTAACATTACAATAAGCATTTTAAATTAGTTAATGAACCATTTTTTTAATTATTATTTTGTTTTTGTCCATACCCCTACCACTGTATTCTGCACACAGAGGGCAGAATAGATTTCTTCGAGAATAGATCTCCGCCTTGAATCACTGATCCAAAACATGGTATAATGATATTATTCACACACTGTCATACACACAATTTCAGTAAGTGGAAGCCATATACTTAGTGTTTTGGGGGTAAAATCGTAGAATTAGGAATTAAAATGTCGGTTAATCAGCTTAGTGTCGTTCTCAAGCGGGGTTTATTGTAAATAGACAGCCTACGTTTTGTATGTTCCCACTGTCTGGTGTAGTTGGGTGGAATTGCGTTGAAAACGAAACCCCATAATTGCAAAGGAAGATGGGGGTCCCTCATGGTGCGCACTTCATCTAATTTATTATTTTACAGGATATGGACTATCACGCAATCCAGTCTGTAAAAGGGGGATGAACTGGTATGGTATTTATGGGGTTTTAAATCACGGATCATATTTGAATTGTTTGCTTGTCCAATACACAAGCACCGCCTTAGGGCATCTAAATCAAATCGATACAAGACTGTACTAAAAATTTGAACGCATGACTAAAGGCATCCAATATAGTTCATCATATTAGTTGTATCCAGGCAATTTCACTGAAAGCTCATATTATAGGTTTCGGTTTTCCTATAAGCCGCTTTAACCATGTCTGAAGAAGCCCATATTATGTCAAGGCTGGCAATATTACGGTATTTATAAAGTCCTTTAAGCGAGATTGTCGATCTTCAACAGATACTTGAGACATTGAGATACTCTAGATATTTGCTGTAATGGAAACCTGATTACAATGACAGTAGAAACAGGTTCTAGAATGTCGGTGGTTTAACTTAGAGAAAAAAGGATAGCAATATGTCACTCAAATCAGCGGCTAATCCACCAATCATTCGTTTCTTATTTTCTTTATCTCCAAGGCATGTATTACTTCTACTACGGAAAGTAGATTTTTGTGTAATGGTTAAAGCGAACTGGTTACGAAACAAGGGTCCACGAGAGAGAGGGAGAGACCAAACCAGGTCATTTCGGGATTAACATATGGTTCAATTTTATTTCAACAATTCGCTTGCACGTAGGGGTCTTTAGGAATGGGAGGAAACCGGAGGACCCGAAGAAAACCCACGAGGTTGGCAGGCGACCCGACTCCTTGTCACGTACAATCGGGGAATCGAAACCACGTCAGTTGACTCAATAAAAGGCTTTATGATACAGCGCACACGCGCTAACATTTCGGTCACCCCCCCCCCCTCAACATTATAGAAAGATATATATAAACATTGGACATTATTTAAGAAGAATGCAAGTACCAGAGCTTAAAGAAGTCAAGTCTTTGACTTAATATCATCCACGGACTTCGACATTGCAAACACGTCTTATTGGTCAATTTAAATCAACATTGATGTTGTTATCTTACCGCTTCTGATATCCAATATTTAATACAAAATGAAAATGTTGAGTGCTTTCCTGCGCCTGTTGTATGAAGCGACTCGATGAACGAGGCTAAACATGTTCAATGTAGGAGAATACTACAGGTGTACTGTAGACTGGAATAACCAGACGCCAAAGACTGCCATTCAATTCAGACTCTTCGCGTATTTCGCTGAACATAACTGATTAGAAACTACAGTAAAACAGAAATGATTGAATGTAAATCAGTTTATATACATTCATATTACATTATTATATACGTTGCGACCAATTATTATTGGTGTCCGTTTCTAGGTGCCGAGGAATAGTGAATTAGCTCATTTAAACTGTTAGAATTTCTAGGATTCAACAGTTGATGACCAAAAGCTGATTTATGAAGACAAATAATTTTAGCTTGCTTTATGGTCTTTATCACTTTTGTTATTTGTTAAAATTCCTATACATCATTTTAAAGAAGTTCTGTTATTGAACTAGAAATAACTGTACTCACCGCCCCCATCAAAATAAAGATTCGCTGATGCGTTACAACACAGGATGTTTCCTTGACACAGACTACTTTACCAAGTTATTCGTCAACGGCATATCTCAACAAAATCAATATATCGACAATAATAAAGTGTCAAGCTGCCTGTCATTGCGGGCAAATCTTTCCTTCAGGCCACTTTCCACATTTTAATGAAGATTGCGTGCTTCGATACTTCACGGTTCTTATACAAATTAAGAGCCTGACTTTGATCTATTAATAACATAATTATAACCCCGTATGCGAATAATAATTAAAGGGAAGAATTTCTTGAAAAGGGAACCATTGCGGTCTGCTTGAAATTAAATTGGGGAGCCATGGTGACGTTGGTCCCACGAACTAAGTTTTTCTATAATAGACTGGTTTTCTCCTAATCAGTGATACAGGAGAAGTTTGAAGTTCATTGCAACGACCAAAGGGGTTTTAATCGCTCGAATAGGACGAAAAACCTACGTGCGAAAGAGAGAGAGAGAGAGAGAGAGGAGAGAGAGAGAGAAATGGAGTTTAACGTCCACTCGACACAAACTAGGTCATTTCGGGACTAACATATGGTTTAATTTTATTTCAATAATTCGCTTGCGCGTAGGGGTCTTTAGCAGTGGGAGGAAACCGGAGGACCCGGAGAAAACCCACGAGGTTGGACAGGCGACTTTACTCCTTGTCACGTACAACCGGGGATTCGAAACCACGGCAGTTGACTCAATGACACACTTTATGATACAGCGTGCACACACTAACCATTCAGCCATCCACCCTCCAAACCTACGTGCACCGTGTACCTATACCAATTGGAATATGCAACGACGTCGCTGTCTGGGCAAATTTCCAACATAGCACATGTTCTTCATAAACCCGGTTGCAGCCGAAAAGTGGGATGTTAAACTCCATTTCAATTCATTTTGAAACTAATCTGGATTAATCTATCCACGAAGAAGAAATTGTGTGGATCGATGATTGCAGCTAAGAAGAGCGAAATAGAAGCAAACCAAATTATTAGTAGTGAGGAACAATTAGAGGAGATAATATATGGCCTCAAGATATAAAATAATAAGCCCGAACTAACAGATACTTCATAAACACGCGACGTTATAAATCCTAACTGACTGACACTTGTCAACCCTTCACAGAGCAATGGCACGAAATGGGGTTTAACGTCCTACTTTTCTGCATCGACTGGACCAATGAAGACGGATCTACAGAGTAAACAGCAATATATACTGGTAGTGAATGTCTATTCCTGAAATTTCGGAGAGAAATGGGGTTTAACGTCCACTTGTCACAAAATAGGTAATTTCGGGGCTAACATATGGTTCAGTTTTATGCTCTGTGAAGGGTTGACGAGTTAGGATTTAAACGTAGGGGTCTTAAGCAGTGGGTGGGGTGGGGAACATTTAAATCCAGAGACAATCCACGGGATTAAACAGTTGACTCCATGTCTTGTCACGTACAAGCTTGGAATCAAAACCTCGGCACCTGACTCAATGACAGACCTTTGAACTAAAGCACGAACGAAACCAGAAGCCAAAATGGCACACCATTTTAAAAGGCCAAATTATAAAACGGACAATATTCATAACGTTTCTAAATCATAAGAGGTTTCGGCTCCCCGCTTGTGTGTGACATGGGGTAGGGTCCCCTAGTTTCCTCCCACAGCTAAAGACCCCTACGCACAAGCGAATTATTGAAATAATATTGTACCATAGGTTAGTCCAGAAATGACCTAGTCTGTTCGAGAGCACGCTATATAAATCTCACTAACTCCCCCCGCCCCGCTCTTTCTCATTATACAATTTTCAGGGGGGGGGGGCAAAATTAAATATCACTATCTCCCCATTTGCATGGTAATTTTTGTTG